CCGCCACGGGCTTGGTCACCCCCGTCTACTCCTTATTTCCAGGCATTTCCTTTCCCCCGTCCCACTTTGTTCGGCTTGGATGCTGCTGAAAGGGAGGGCTTGGCAGCGCCGGGATCTGGATTCCTCTTTCTATGAATAATGCCCTTATTAAATTTTAACATATGAACCGAACAGGCCGGCCCCAGTTCCCGGCGCTTCCCTTCCCGGGGCCGTTCCCAGGCTCAGCTGGAGAGGTAACATTCCCAAACACTGAGGCAGCCCCAACCTCTGGATGGCCCTGCCCTCTCCCTTGCTCCAGAGCCAGGATGCTCCTGACAGATTCCCAGGCTTCCCTTGCGCCTTCCAGAACCCACTCCTAGCCTTTCTCCTCTGTGAGGGCAACTCCTGCAGCACTTGGCTGCTGCTCCACATGCCCGGCTCTGCCCAGCCTCACAGTGAGGCACGTTGGGGATAGGGAGGATTTGAGACAAAATGGAGCACTGGATATTTGGAGGTGCTTCTGGAGGTGTCCCTGGCCCGCAGGATGCCCTGTGTCCCCTCTGGCAGCGCGGCTGTGGCTTCCCATCACACTCCTGTCAGGATCAGCTTTCGGGGCACTTGTGACTCACTGCCTGTCGTGGGGTGCCGGCTCAGCCCTGACTCAGCTGCTGAGTCACTGTCTGTCTTGGCGGCCCCAGCTGTCTCCACCGTCCCCTGGGAGGGCACAGCCTGGCTGGGCTTTGGTCTCCTGCTGCCCCACTACCCTCAGCAGGTGCCTGTCCTGCGAGTGCCCGGAGCCCATCCTGCCAGGGCAGCCTCCTCCCATCTGTGCTGCTGCCAGCGCTGGCACCTTCTGGCTTCCAGCCCAGGTGCCCTGTGCTGCTCGTATGTCAGTCGTGCCTTGTGTGGGTCCGAGTGGGGACAGTGCTGGTTTTGGGGATGGAGCAGGGCGTGTCCTGGGATGATCCTGTGATCCCCGGCCTTTTGCTGCTTCTCATCTTCCCCCTGGATGCTCTCTGGAGCTGGGATGCTCCTCAGACAGCTCCATCCCTGCAGGTGTGCAGAGCCCAGAGAGAGTGTGGGGCCCTTGGTGCTGCCAGGAACCCTTCCCAGCTGCTGTGGCTGGAGGGGCCCATGTCCAGGCTGGGTCCTTGACAGAGATGTGGTGGTGTGGGGATGGCTGATGTCCTGTGGTGCTGGGTGGGTGCACCCGAGGTGGCCAGTGGGCCCCAAGACTCACACTCAGCCCTCAGTAGAGGTGATCAGGGTGAGTGCATTGTGGGGTCTTGGCCCTGGGGGCTGGCATCTCTGTTCCATAGCATGGGGAGTGCCTGCCATATCCCTCTGTGCCTCCCCATGGCCCCTTTGCTCTTGCACCTGCCCTGCAATTGCTCTGCCCTGGAGCAGGGCTGGAGCAGCTGCAGCCCAGGGCTGCACTTCCAGGCAGTGCAGGGGAAGGCCCATGCAACTCTGCGTTGGACATGGGGTGCCTGAGGGACTGGGGGTCATGGAGGGGCTTGGGTGTTGTGTCACTGGAGCTGGTGACTTGGAACAAGTGACCTGCCAGCCTACACTTGTGCATCCTGGCCAGTGAGATGTGCGGGGGGTTTCTGCAGGGCCCAAGGGCTTGGGGCTGCCCTGTCCACCGTCCCTCACTGGAGCCATGCCTGGGCAGTGGGGACTGGAGGTGCTCTGGCAGGGCTGCTCCACTGCAGGAGATGCTCAGCTGCTTGGTGGGGCCACAACCAGGCCAGGGGCCACAGCAGTAAACCTGGCTTCTGCTCAGTCCCTTCTGGAGTAGCGTGGGGATGTGGAGTGTGAGGGGGGTGATGCTCAGCCCTTTTGGGCATGGCCGTGGCTTTGGCCCTGTGTGGCAGCACCACTCCTGGAGGGGCCGATGGGGTAGGGGAGAGCGGGGGCTCGGTGCCGCCTGGGGCGGAGGCACCTGGGCTGCGGCCCTTGGCAGCATTGTGCCGATTCCAGTCATCCC